CTTATACCTAGAGTTTTCCTGTAGGAGGCGCTATACAGGGTGTCCCAAAAGTAAGTACACACTTTTCGATCGTCATTATCTCTCTTCCCAATGCGTATTTTTCCTCCATTCAAGCACCATTCTGTAAAAAAGGCTTCGACTTAGATTTGTAGTATCGATCGAATTACCGACCTTTCTTCATTACTGTAGGATTACGGCAAGAACTTCCAGTATGTGGAACCATTGTGAAATATGCCATCTGACAGAATTTTTTGCAAAAAATCAGAAAAATCGTTAACTAATGCTTTTGCGCACGCTGATTACACTACACATATTTTACAAGTGTTTCCACCTTTTTTGACGGTGCAATTACATTCCACAAATTCTGAGAATTCGGTTATTATGCTTTACCTAGGATAACTTTGGAAAGGAGCATCATGGCGAAGTGAAATTTCATATTTGAAATCAGCAGCTTCCATTACCATAGTATAAGAGTTTTTGGCTTGTTTGATTTTGCTCCGATGCAGAGTATGGCTTTCAATGCCTAAAATCCTTGTCGAAGTTCCTATAGTAATCCTACGGTAATGAAGAGAGATCGGTGATTCGCTCCATACTGTGAATCTAAGTTGTAGCCTTCTCTACAGAATAACATCTGAATGGTGGAAAAAGACACAATGGGAAGAGAGATATTACAGATTGAAGAGTGTTTACTTACTTTTGGGACACTCTGTATAATGGCGTTGATGCATATTTTGAATTTTATCTCCGTGGAGAGTAAGGATGACGGGCTGGGATAGCCATTCTTCAGTTTGTATTCGAGGGGGACACCACATATAATTCGGAGAAAATGCAAGGGCTTCGCCTGTGAGGGCCCATCTATAAACCTTCCCGGACTTTTTTAGTTCCGGCTCTCGCAATTTCTCACTTTTTTCCCCCCTCATTTTTCCCCTCCCTTTATTTCTGCAGCGCGTGTGATAGTTATCTGGCGGCCATCTGGACCTGGTTAGGAGGCTGAAAAGGGCTACTAAGGGGGTAAAGGCTAGCAAAACGCGATTTTTCCTTATTTTTCCTTATTTTCTCTTATTTTCCCTTATTTTCCTTGATTTTGATCGTGATGTGGGGTAGAAAGTTGGCGGAGCTTGTTTGGAGGAGTTTCAGCTGTAACCTCCAGAATATCGAGTTTATCGATTTTTGTCGATTTTCGGGACTTCACAGCCCTCAGAATATCGATTCTTCAACTTTGAAGATATGGTGGTTCACTAACCTCCAAAATATCGACTTTTCGCTTTTTAGCTGTGAACTGTAAGTCCCGAGCACTTAAATTCCGAAAATTCCGCGGAATTCCTAGAATTTCGCGAAACTTCGCGAACTTTCCGGAATTTCGCGAAGTTACAAGATGGCACTCATGACTTTGCCTCAAGCTCGATCCACGGAGAGTTTCAACTCAAAATTTGATAGTCTTCAATTGCCCAAAAAACCGAAAAAATCAGATGTTCGTCCGAATAATTTCTGCGGACCTCAAACTCGCACACATCAACACTTCCGATGTCTGTTCATACGTGTAATTGCTGTAATTCTTCCTTGACTAGAAACTGAAAAAACGAAAATTTCCTTGATTTTCTCAAAGCAATGCTGAGCCGTTCCTGCATATGTAGTTCTATACTTCAAGCCCAGAAGCATAACTGTAAATTCAACCCATTCCAAGCGATAGTTTTTAAGAAATGTCGATTTTAGCACTGAAACTGTGAAGAAAAAAGCTGAATTCGATGTTTTTCGAAAACTATCGCTTGAAGTGTGTTGAAAATCTACAGTTATGCTCACCCAGAATTGTAGTATAGAACTGCATATTCAAGAACGGCTCAGCATTACTTTAAGAAGATCACGGAAATTTTCGTTTTCTCAGTTTCCAGTCAAGGAAAAAACACAGCAAGTGCACGTATGGATAACAGACATCGAAAGTGCTAGTGTGTGCGAGTGTGAGGTCCGTAGAAATTATTTGGACGAACATCTGATTTTTTTCGGTTTTTGAACATTTGGAAATTTTCAGATTTTGAGTTCAAACTCTCCGTGGATCGAGCTTGGGGCAAAGTCATGAGTGCCATCTTGTAGAGCTGGCTTTGCTCTATCAAATAATATTTCCAACCTGTTGGGTTGAGTCTGGTTGCTTTGTTAAAGCAAGCAAATCGACATTGTTTCTTGGCAACCTAATGAAGTTGAGAAAATCTATCAATGGCAAGGAAGTATGATTTTTTGAGAATGCGGCGCAAAAACGTTTGGGACAATCTAATATATTAGGTCGTTCCGAAAGTAATGTCGCTTTTTTCAAATAAACGCCATATTTCATGGAATCAAGATTTCAATAGATCTTAGGAGCATTCGATGCAGCATTTCATCCTCTTTCTATAAGTTGCAGCTTCATTGCATAATATTCAATCAGCTCTCAAAAAATTACCAAAACCTGCAACTCATGCTTTTTGTCCGGGTCAAGTTCGGCTATTTTACTATATTTTTGTACTGATTCCGCGAAGATGTACGAGTAACAGATAAATAGAGCAAACCCTATAGGAAACACAAAACATTTTTTTCCTTTTCCTTAGCTTGCTTCTTAGAGTTTCTGGAATCATTTTTTCAATGCTATCAAATTCTATACTTGGTCAACTCAAACCTCACAGAACTACGACCGGCAAACAATTCGGGTGTCATTCGACGCATCTTCTTCTCCTCTTTCTACCAGTCGTTTTTTGTTTCCGATTCATCGAGTTTTCCGGGATAAAATCGTGATAATTCAGGATTTCCAGGGTGCCCCAGGCTGTACTCGCAATTTTCAAAAGTTGCTAATCTGAAGCGGTGAATGCTCATTTGATTACTAAAATTAATGTCAAACCATAATTCTTCTTTGTAAGTTTCAAAATCCGAATATTTATTGCTGTTTGATGCATTTGAGTCTGAGACGAGTCTGCTAAAATTCGGTGGTTCCATCAAAAAAATTATTCAAAAATTGTGACGAGCTCTGGAAAGTAGAAAAAAGCAATGCTGTTTCCTGCAGGGTTTGCTCTTTTCATCCATTACTTGGACCACTTCCAGTGGTCGTTATAAAGATTTAGAAAAATTGTGAAACTTGGCCTTCTCAAAAAGCATAGGTTGCAGATTTTGAATTTTTTTCGAGAGGTCATTGAGTTTTGTGCACTGGTTATATAACCAGTAGAAAGAGAATGAAATGATGCTCAAATAAGAATCCCTTACACATCTTTGTTCCACGAGATGTGGCATACGTTTGAAAAAAGCGTCATTACTTTCGGAACGACCCAATATACAGGGTGTCCCAAAAAATGTGCCTACTGTTTGATTGTCAATAACTCTTTTGTAATAAAGTGTTTCGAGAAGCTTTAGGCACCGTTTTGTAGAGCGAGCTTAAACTTAGATTTACAGTATGGAAGCGAATCATCTGTCGCCCTTTATTACTGTAGGATTACGGTACGAACTTCGACAAGGATTTTAGGTCATCGGAGGCTATATTTTGTCTCGGAACAAGACCAAACAAGCCGGAAACTCTTACACTACGGTAATGGGAGCCGCTGGTTTCGAATTTGAAATTCTCATTTTACTATGATGCTTCTTTCCTAAGTTATTCCCGATAAATCGTAGTAAATCAATTTCCGGCATTTGTCAGAAAGGTAATTACACCCTCAAAAAAGCTGAAAACACTCTTAAAAAGTTGTTAAGTGGAATCAGCATGCGCGAAAACCCTAGTACACGATTTTTCAGATTTTTTGAAAACAATTTTGTTTGGTGGTACATTTCACATTGGTTCCATATACTGGAAGTTCGTACCGCAATCCTACAGTAATGAAGAGCGATCGATGATTCGCTCCATACTGTAAATCTAAGTTCAGCCTCGCTCTACAATACGGTACCTAAAGCTTCTCGAAGCACTTCATTACAAGAGAGTATTTACAATCAAACAGTAGGCACATTTTTTTGGGACACTCTGTATATGAATAAATATATATTAGGTTGCGAAAGTTCGTTCACACCATTTCCAAAAAATCATAACTTCCTTCCCTCACAATGATTTCGCGACACTCAAATTTTATTCGAAAGCGCAAAGCATGTAGTTTCCAATAGTTTCCTAGCGACTTTCCAGCATGTTCAGATTGCAGAGATAAAAAATGAAAGAACGAGAACATCCGAAATTTTTGAGCAAAAATTCTAAAAATCTAGAAACTGCGCGAAAAACACAGAAAAGCCGTTATCCTAATTTTTCTTATATTTGATTACTAACTGAGTTAAGATTGTGCTGATCGAGCCTTTCTTTCAAAAGTTATGAATTTTTGAAAAAAATGCCCAAAAATCATTTTACTAAGAATTCCCAAGAAATCGATTTTTGGGCATTTTTTTCAAAAATTCATAACTTTTGAAAGAAGGGCTCGATCAGCACAAACTTAACTTAGTAATCAAATATAAGAAAAATTAGGATAATGGCTTTTCTGGATTTTATCGCGCAGTTTCTAGATTATTAGAATTTTTTCTCAAAAATTTCGAATTTCGCATGTTCCCGTTCTTTCATTTTTATCTCTGCTATCTGAACATGCTGGAAAGTCGCTTGGAAACTACATGCTTTACGCTTTCTAATAAAATTTGAATGTCGCGAAATCATTGTGAGGGAAGGAAGTTATGATTTTTTGGAAATGGTGTGAACGAACTTTCGGACCAACCTAATATAAATTTCTATACATAACGAATTTTAGATGTGGGAAGTACAAGCATGAGCAAGATGGGATTTTCATAAGATGTTTTTGAGCTCAGTTTTGATTTCGTATGATCACTAGCAAATAGCTTTCTTACTTTTCGGCTTAAGAAACTTTGATTAACTAAAGTCGAATTCAAACGGTTGGACAATATCTTAAAGAGCTTATTTTGATCTACCAAACGACCCTGATTCAATTATAATGAGACTGATGTGATGTTTTGCGGTGGAAAGTCAAGGTGCGGCACATATTTAGTAACAAAGTGGTAAGTACCTTTTTCTCCTCACAAACTTTTAGCTCTTCCTTCTCTTTGCCTTCAGTAGCCATGAGCAAAGCTAATAAGATTGGACAAGCCAATTGAAATGCTGTCCAGAGATAGCACCGTAGAGCAATTAATAAATCTTTGCTGAATTTGTAGAATTTGTGAATGTGAGATTGCCACCGTCATCTATGTAAAGCAGATGAATATCGTACAGAAGCAGCACACGAACTGTGCGAAAGAGAGACATCACATTCCAATGCCTATGAAACGGATGAAATGAATCTTGCTTCCGAGTAGGTTACGAATGCTCTTGATAGAGATAGCAATTCTAGAGGGTTAAGGTCACGCTGATGTGAAAATTGATGGTGGTTCAATAACTTCGTTTTTATTGTTGTACAAAAAGACGCACGTTCTTTTGAATTGCTTTTATTACCGAATATTTTTGCCCCTTTTCGGCTCTTCTGACAAGGCGAGTGAGATCAAAGGTGATCCACTGGTATTTGATACCAGTCTGATCGTCCGGCTTCGCCGGACGGAAGTTTCAGAAGTCGCAGTGGCCTTTTGACATGGGAGGGTAACATCTTAAGCAGCTTGAAATGCTGATTCCAAAACAAACTTTCTTAGCTGCAGAACTGATCTGCATCGCGAGTTATGGGCATTTTAAACATTGAATTTTACATTGTTTGAAGTACTCTGTGATCACGGAAACCTTTCAAATGCTTGTTTGAGCATCACAGCATGACTTTGATGAAGGCATAGAATTACGTTAAGCATTGATGGACTGTTTCATCTATATTTGAGCCCAAAAAAATGTTCGCTTTTATTTTTGGCTATTCTCAGCGTTGTAAATTTCCCGCAAAATAGCTTTTTTTCGACATAACCATGATGATAATTTGGACAAATCACTTAAAAATTTATTCTGCTTAAGTATTCAACAGCATAAATCTTTTTAATAAATTTGACTGACTACGTAGTTCATTGCTAAAATCACGAAAAAATCTGCTTTTGGTATCCCAAAATATCAAAGTTTTGACAGGAGAAATTGCAACAATGCTTCGTCCACAATACTCATTGTGTTTATGCAGATGGCAGGGATGATGTAAGCAAAATAACTCAGAAATATCTGATAAAGAAACTGCTTCTTCCTTACTGTTTTTTTGTACTTGAAACTGGCATAACCGTTTTGGCAGACATCTGCTGTCATGATGGTGATTTCGAAAACTGTTGCTGGCTTGCTTATACTCCAACGTGAATGGTTGGAAATAATGTCTTTCTTCCCGCAACATCTTTCTCAGAGGAGAATTTTGTGTGACACCTTCGCTTGCTACCTTCTAACAGTGAGATGCTTGACAGTTTTGTGCTATGAAGAACTTTCTGTAGACGTGTTAATGCATATTCAATCTTGTAAAAAAAAACATGAGTATGTGATTTGCGTACGCACAGCACACTTCCGTGAGCTCACTTCACATGAACATTTTGATCTTGTATACTGACGGTAATTGATTCCTAAAGTAAACAAAAATTGTGTTGCCTTCTGTTTTTGGCAATCTTGAAAATTACTTACGTACATTTGAAAAATTTTCAGCCCTAGATTTGTCTTGAAAAAATAGTATTATTCTGGAATTCGCCTTAAATGATTCTTGCCACTAAGATAGTGTTTTGTGCATTTTTTCAGTTTAAATGTAACTAATCAAAGAATAGCTGTCACGTTAGAATCAATATTGCCATCTTACTTGTATCAAGATCATTAAAAAATATATATAGGAATTTGGTCTTCAATGAGTCCATTTGCCAAATATGATAGCTGGTTTACCTTTCTGACCAATTTCAGCATTGGTTTAGACAAATATAGTTGAAGGAGGAAGAAAGCTTTAGAAAGCTGTATTTGACTATGTTACCTCAACACTTTCAACTCTCTTTCTCATAAATCGTAGTAGTTTTGTTTCAGCTAAGGCCAAGATTGATACACAGCTTTATTAGGCCTACGTTTCGGCGTCTCCGCCTTCTTCAGAGCCTGTAAGGACGATGATATTTGTAATCTATCCCCTCAAATGCTCTATCTCCACCACATCGGTACAACCCAATAGCCGACAGAGCCAGAAACAAACGAGAGAAGCAGGAACAGTTAGCGCTTACCTTATAGCCTTGCAGTCAAGAGTAGGCGACCACCCACAGTGAAGCGCCGCTGCTGTGATATAGATATATTCAAATCACTCCCCGCCTTGACCCGACCCCGACCCAGTAGGTCAAAACGCACAAAGGGTCTGGAACGGTGCCAATTCGTTTGTAACGGCAACGCATTCTTCCTTCCTATTAATTTTTGGATTTCGCGATGCAATCCAAAAGGCCTCAAGAGTTTTGCGGGCTATTGTTTGGGGTTCGTACGATAGGATTGTGACAGCCGTACTAAACGTAGCATTTTCATGACACAGCCTGCTGTGAGCGCCTAGAGGTGTTGATGATCTGCCCTTCGCAAGCCCGTCTAAGTGCTCCTTGATCCGGACGCACACCGGTCGCCCTGTTTCGCCCACGTATTCCTCACCACACGACTGACATGTGATGAGATAGACCACCCCCGCCTTCATGCAATCACCTGGTCTACCGTACGGACATACCACGCAATCGGGAGTCGTACAAATATTGTCGTAAGCACGGTTGCGTATGAGCTGCTTCTTAAGGTTAGGGGGAGGAATGTCTATGACTCTAACATATTCCTGAAGGCCTGATTGATACAGACATGCCCTAACCACCTTGCAAAGGTCGTCCGCAACGAAGGGTATGCAAAAGGGAATTTTGGTTTTGTCTTGTGGACGTGCGCTACTATATGACATGCCGCGATGAGAACTCTTGTCAGCAGGGTACCCATTCTCTTTCTCATAGTTTTCTGGCATGCGTCACTTCGTTTAGATATCTAGAACGTTAATGAGCTGTGCGCTGATGATCTTTTTCTTACTTTCTTGCAAACTAAGTGGCATTTCGAGTAGTAATACTTGAAGTTAGTACGGGTAAAACCCGTTAGAGCAAAACCTCTTCATAGACAATGCTTTGAACTGCTCTTTTCGGTGTACTCACTTTTAGACCGGCCGGCGTTCGAACTCGGGAAAAGCTGCTGAAGCTGCTTATGACTAAAGACATCTTCAGGAAGATATACGCCGACTCTAGTAAACGACTGCCCCTGAGCCTTATTCATCATCATTGCAAACGCAAACTTTACGGGGAACTGACGTCTTCTCAGCCGAAATGGCAGTTGCTTTTCGCAGTAATTATCTATTCTTGGGATTGCAGCTAACTGGCCTCTTCGTTCCCCACAGATAAAGCGACAACCAAGAGCAAAACGCCCCAAAGTCTCAAACCTCAGTCGTGTGCCATTGCAAGACCATTAGTGACATAGAGGTTCCTCAAGCATAACCTATGTCTCCTTTCTTTAGTCTCAGCTTATACGGCGGCATTCCTGATGGTTCGAGGGTGTTAAGATACTCGACAGGGTAAAGTTCGGAATCTCCTTCATGAAGTATAGCTTCGTCTATACTTCTATACACCTTATTTTCTCGTTCATTGTCCACATGTAGACGTTGCATTGCGTCATCATTAAGTTGCTAACGTTCACGTTCTTTGGAGCGAGTATGGCTCGTTCGTAAAAGGTTTCGTGCGGGTTAATAATCTCGCCAAAAATCTCCGTTATCATATTTCCTGTGCAAATGATGTTCTCTGGCAAAGTAATGCGCCCATCTTCCGTGCTATTGCGCCCATTACCTATATCTAAGAGGAACGTATGCCAATCATCTACTGCATTCCTTGCGCGCATATTTATCTAAAGGCGGTGTCTCCTGAACAGCGACCATAGTGGCGATCTGGTTACACAGGCTTCGACAACATCTTCTCGGTGTCCATGTTCGATCACAGGTAATATTTGGCGAAAGTCCCCACCGACAATGATCAATTTCCCTCCGAACGGCGTGTCATTTTGCGTTATATCTCGAAGCAAATTGTCAACTGCTTCGAGAGAGCATCTTGGCGCCATTGATATTTCATCCCAAATAATGACTTCTGTGCAGGCAAGGTCATTCGCTTCCCTCTGTTGCCTTCTCATTAGTGACGAACGATTACCGTCTGCCATGTTAAGCTTAAAAGCAGAGATTACCGTTCGGCCCCCGGGGAGCAAGTTCGCGGCGATACCGGTCCACGCGACGCAAAGCACACGGCGGCGCTGCGCCACGGCAAACTTGTACAACACTGTATACAAATAAATTTTTCCAGTACCTCCTGGACCGTCAACGAAAAAGCATCTGTCGATGTTGCGATCCGTAGCTGCCAAGATGTCGTCAGCAGTCCTTTTTTGGTCGGAATTCAATGTGTCGTACAAGCGCATTTCTTCATTGCGGTATAGCTCATAATCTATCGTATCAACGGTGATCTCAGGGCGCACGTCTGCGGGAGGTGTTACCATTTGTCTCAGATCTCTACCTAATAATGACAACCTATCCGCCACTATCAAAATACGCCATGGCAATGGCTTCCTGCTCGCTTAATCCTTGATGCATATAATCATCGCTAATTGCCATGGCAAAATCATTCCAAAGATCCTGTGCATCTGCTACTTCGCAATAGCAGAGCAGGCATGCGAAGAAGCTTCGTAAGGTGGTCGGTGTTTGGAAATGTACTTCTTCCTCTATACTCTGCCTATAATAAGTATCGTCCTCCAAAAAACCCGTAAGCTTTTGCGGCATCTGAAAACGTTCCATAAGTTCTTCCGTCAACCGTGCGAAGATCTTCAAACGATCCCTTTCCTTTCGTGTTTAGTAAGAGTATACGGAGACAGAGATTAACGCTCTACATCTCGTGGAGATACAGTATGCATCCTACCAATTTCCTTTCCTCCTCGTCTTCTTGGCTTCCAGCCATGACGAGTTGAGAATGTAAAATATTCTGGAATTTCGTAATAGTAGAGCTCACGAGCTTCGACTGTCAAGTCCGAAGGTACACCATTATCAAAAGCTCTAGAGCACTGTACATTCAACTCAAAATACGCTGTGAGTGTTGTGTAAGCGTTCTGTGCTCGGTTCAGGTAATGTTGTTCTTCTCCAGCGATAAAATGTACGATCTGGTTTCCTGGTAGGTGTACGGCCAATCTGTACACAGTGTGCGATTTATCCTGCATAGGGAAACCAAAAATGCGGTGGAGAGCTTGGGGCTTGGGGCGGGCATACATAACGTGTGTTTAAGTGCTGTTTAATTTCATCAACAACTCTCTCGTCACCA